ACCCACGCACCTTGGGCCTCACCACTGCCTAGGAACAATGAGAAGAAACTAAACTGTGCAAAGCATTGAAGGTGCCGTAGCCCGAGCTACATTTGTAGCAGCGTGTGCTGTGATGAGTCCGATCCCAGGGACAACACCGCAGACAGAGCTTCACCAACCCAATGGCCAGCCCAGCTCCACCAGCTGACTCAAAGCAGCTCCAACAGTGACACTTTGGGGGAAGGACGGAAGGGATGAGAGCGCGAGCCACTGCAGCGCCAGGGAAGTGTGGCTGGATCTTATCCCATAGCCTGGAAGGGCAAAAGCCCCAAGCAACCTTACTGCTGCAATACCAAGGCTTTCCAGCAGCAAGAAGGGTCTTTGCACATTTCCTCCCAGGGCTGAGCTGATGTAACACGCGAAGAGCAGGGAGAAGGGTTGGCGAAAGACCAACTCTGTTTCAAATGCTGCCCATTTCCCGGGTTTGGGATTTTCTAAGCCTTACACTAAAACTGTGGTAGGAGAGTTCACCTAGTATCTAGAGTCAGCTCTGGACTGGGACAAGCACCTAAAGCAACAAGGCTGGTCCACTGGGCCTAGGGGAGCTTAACTTGAGAACAGCTAGGACAGAAAACAACTCTGAGCACTTGCATTTCACACTTACCCTCAGAGTGCCAGGGGAGCCTAGAGTAGGTTTCCCTGCCAAACCGGCTCACCTCAACCACCCTCTGCGCCCCGCCGGCAGGAAAGGCTGAGACTGGAGGAGATGTCAGCCTCTCTCCCACAGCCAGTGCTCCTTCCCATCCCTGCAGCGCCTTGCAGAGAGAGAGACAGGACTGCAAGAACGGCTGGATGTTTTCAGCATCTGTTTGCGCCCGTTCGCTGAGTGCCACGTACAATTTGACATATTCTGTGGATTTCAATAATTTATGCAGTAGGAATGAAAAAGGAGCCTTCAGCCTCTAAAGTGAATGGTGTCCAAAAGAGGAATGGGCACTGAAAAGCGTGTTTCGAAAAACCATCCTTCTGCACTTCCAGGGAGCACGGGATGGGTACTGTAGGCAGGACCAACGCACCAGGACCTGGCGCAGATCTTGTGTATCTCTTGAGCAAAATGAGCTCCATCAACTGTGCATGGGGGGGGATGGTCTGTGTCTGCAACACCACTACATTCCACATGTGCCTTCACTGCAGCCCCTGCCGTGCAAAGACACTGCCCAGCACACTCCTTAGGTGCCCGTGGCAAGGCCTGGCACCAGCCAGCTACGATACTAGTCCCACATCCAATCAAATGGAGCAGTCACACAAACTGGGGTCATTCTGCACAGCCCAGTGACGAAGAAACAAGGCCCTGGGAAGGAGTGAGGGTAGGCTCCTGCCAGGCACAGAACACCTCCAGAGCCAGCCTGTCCCAGGGACAGGACTGATCCTGCAGCAGTTGGGCTCTTCTTCTTCAGCGGAGCATCCATCATGCCACCTGCCCAGTCACAGCAGGACCCTGATAAGGAGCCAAACAAGGGAAGGGGAGTCGCTCTCTCTGCTTGTTAGCAGTCCCTGCCTGTCTGCTCTGGAACATGCGGCTGGTAATGCAAGGATGGGAAACCCCTGTGCTGTGAGGGGGCCGGGGGAAGCAGATGGGCACAGGGATAATACACCCTCTCTACACACCTAGGCATGGTGTTGAGACGGGGAACGTGCACATGGCTCACACTGCAGCAGGGTCCTGGCACGTGGACACCATGGGGATGGCAGGGGAACATTCTGCAAAAGTAAAGCTCTCAAGCTCTCACAGGGACCTGCTCAAGAAGCGTCAAGGGACAAGGCCATCAAAGGACGTAACTATATGGTTTGTTTCTGGAACTGCTGTCCCCTACTTAGAGAAGGTGGCTACAAGTGTGGGTTCATCATCCTGTTCCCAGCTTGATATGCAACCTTGGGCAACTAATTTAACCTTCCCAACATTGCACTAGGCTGCTAGATCTGGGAGAGAAGAATGCTTTACAAGCACCAATCCACAGTGGGAAGGATCATTTACGTTAGTGTCAGATTGTAATATATATACACGTGTATTCCCTTGAAAACTCTACATGAGAGAGCATGCATGGACATGTCAACCACAGATACACCCAGACACGGCTACCAAGCACCAGCGCCAGTTTCATGGCCTGTCACAAAATATTTTAAATGCTTGTTTAAACACCGGCACACTTATCTGGAGCAACTATACCGGTGTTTGCCAAACCACACAAACAACGTACTTCATCCTCTATGGCACAGCTGCTCTAACCATGGGACGCAAGAGCCGTGTCCTCCGTGCACAGCGTGAGAGGCCGGAAAGTCACCCACAGCACTCCGCCCAAGTATCTTAGCTGGGCGCTGGGAGGAATCTTTCCCCTAGTGCCACAGAGTGTTAACAGCCACTCCTCAGAGGAGCCTCGAGACCCCTAATGCTCCTCCCACAAGAGCAGAGGATCTGGGCAGGACCTCTCCTTGCCCCTACCCCTGCTGCTCCGGGAGCACTCACAGGGGATACCACCCCCCCTGCACAGTTTCCCAAGCCCTACTTCCCCAGAGCCACTGACATCACTCAGGTGCCGTTTTAGCGCCAGACTCTTCGGGGCTCCTGTTCCAAATGCCATCAGCCAGGCACAAGGCTTAGCATGGAGTACCAGGAGTGACCCCCCTCTTCCATACCTGCAGAGCCCTTCTCCTGCCCCCTGTGGGCCCAAAGAGGTGCAAGGCTTGGGAGCAGCACTGTCATGGGCTTTAGCAGGGGCCTCTCTGGGGACGATGACTGGCCAGCAGACCAGGAACCCTGCTTCTGCAGAGCTTTGAGCTCAGCTAGCCACCGGCTTCTTTCTCTCTGCCACAAGAATTGGCATCTACAATGTAAAGTGGCAGATTCCTGAAATTACAATTTACAACCGAGAATCAGTAGCAACGTAGAAATTGTGAGAAACGATTGTTTTGATTTCTTGCAAAGAGAGTGAAGCCCACCTGAGCTGGGAAACAGCACATCTTGCCCTGAGGATCAGCCTCCAGCAATGCCATCCTGAGCCCCACTGTCCCCCCATTCTAGGCACAGGTGTGGGGGTGGCCTAGTCCTGCTCCCAGTGGCGTCTGCATTCTAAAAGCACTCGCACATTGGCACTAGCTGGCCCCAGTGAGGCAGTCAGCAGAGGCCAAGGAGACCGAACCCCCAAGTCCCATCACATCATGCTTGAGGCGCGCTGATGGACAGCACAACAGCCTGTTCCTCGGAGAGAACACGTCAGTCAGCAGGGCTAATAATTCAGTACCTTTCACCAGCTCTAATTGGGGGCGGGGGGAGGCCTTGCAAATCTGTTGCCACAGTTACTAGCATCTGAAGAGTTGGCTCCCTCTCGAACCCACACGGTGCAAGGGGAGACCTGGAAGCACTCCCCCTCCCCTCCGCAGAGGCCCTTGCTAGAGAGACCTGCAGCTCCATGGACCCTCTTGGTGCATGGAGGAACAGAAACTGGGACAGCAGAGACTCCCTTCCACAGCCTCGACCTGCCCCTCCTCTTGCAGCAGCGACCCACCTGGGGCATGAGAGCTCCCAGCAAAGCCAGCAGTGCGGGAGAGGACTGTTTAAGCACAGACTATTTATGATAGAACCATAAAATGATTCAGCAGGCTCAGAAAATCCCACCTGAATCTATTTTAAGAGACAGTCCTGGCTCAGCAAACCACGTTTCTGTTTCAGCTCCTGCCCCTCTTCCCGAGTGGAAGCACAGGGCAGCCACTCCAGCTGCCCGCGTCCAGTGACCTGTCATGCCTACGCTTTTCTGCCACTATAACAAGCTGCAGAAGTGTCCCTAGCCTCAGACTAGCAAGGCCCCCGATTCCACAGCCAGGCCCGGTGGTGAGAGGTACCGCTGCCAGCAGCACCCAGGGCACTCCGCTCACACGTGGGCCTCGCAAACACAGAAACCAGACCACTGAGCTTCAGACCAGGTCTGGTCTCCCGTGCTTGTGTCTCTGGGTGTTGAGCTCGGGAACATGCAGCACAAAGCCACCAGCTCAAGCTGTCCCACAGTCTGTCCACTGGGGCAGAGGCACATTGTTGTCCTCCTCTGACAACGCTAAGTGGCTGAAGGACCAGGGCCCTGCTGAATTCAGAGACCTGGCTGGCCCTGCGGTTTCAGGGTTCAAGCGCCAGGCTGTCAGCCTATATTAGTCAGTGCCCACTTCTTCGAGAGAAAGCGCTGTCCTGCATAGCCCCGTAGTCCTCAGACGGCCCACACAGCCCGAGGGCTGAGCCAGGCGCTGGCAGTAAATAACCACTGGTGGGGCTGCACCTTGGGGAGGGGCGGCAGAGGATCGATATGGAGCTAGAGAACAGACATGCAATCCAAGGGGTCTCAGATATTCCCCCCACCGAGTCTCCACTGTCCCCAACTGGGCAAAGCAGGGGCTTAGCCCAGGCACAGAACCCAGGGCAGATGAAGAGCAAATACTGAGACCACCCCCCCGGCCAGGCAGATCTCAAAGTGAAGGGCCAGGCCCCAGCTGCTGAGACCTTAGGGAACAAGAGGTTACTAGAGCCTGAGCAAAGAGACAGCACTGACTCCAGCCAGATAGGGAGCAGCGATGGGACGGGAGCCCTGTACAAGCGCTGTACCCCTGGGCCACAGACAGCCCACTGAGGGGTGGGCACACCTCCCCCTTGGAGGGGCTGGGACCCCACGGGGGCAGGGAAGAGGCACGCCGAGGCCCCATGGGGGAAGGGAAGATGGGGGCTGGGCCCCTCTCCAAGGGCAGGCTGGGACCCCACGGGGGGAGGGAAGAGGCGGGCTGGGATCCCACAGGGGGAGGGAAGATGGGGGGCCGGGACCCCGCTCCAAGCGCAGGCTGGGGCCCCACGGGGGGAGGGAAGATGGGGGGCTGGGGCCCCGCTCCAAGGGCAGGATGGGACCCCACGGGGGGAGGGAAGATGGGGGGCCGGGGCCCCACGGCAGGACACGGGCCCTCTCTCCCGGGGCCAGGCCCGCACTCACCGCCCGTGATTTTCTGCAGCCCCAGCACGTCCTCGGGGCCGATGAGCGGCTTCCGCAGCAGCTCCTCCTCGGGGCCCGCGGCCGCCGCCCCGCCGCCCTTCTTCACCCTCATGGCCGCGGCCCCGCCGCTGCCCCGCCGGCCGGAGCGAGTGTCGGCGCGGAGAGCGGGCTCGCTCATCCCCCGCCCGCGGCCTCGCTCAGCGCCTTTGCCGGCAAAGCCCCCGCGCTGCCGCCGGCTGCGGCCCGGCCGCCTGGCTCCGCCCGCGCCGGGGAGGGGCAGCGCCAGGCCCCGCGCCAGGCCCCCAGCAGGGCGGGGTCAGTGCTGGCCAGGGGCTCCTCCCGCACGGCGCGGGGCAGGGTTTGCCTGAGCCCCCTCAGAGCCCCTCACCCCCAGCGGACAAGCTCTCCAGCCAGGCCGACTGCCAGGGAGCCCAAGACCCAGCTGTGTAACCCCAGCAGCGCCTGCACCCTTGGGCCCTCACAGGTGTAGGGCTGTTGGAACCGCATCCTCCCCCCCCCAGGCAGGGTCTGGCCCTTCCCGTCACCCTACAGCCCTGGCGAGCAGCGGGAACATCCCCACATCAGTGGGTTTTGGCCACCCAGGCTGTGAGGGGTGTGCACAGACCTGGCTGTTTTCTGTCTGTCTTCCATCAAAGCCCTGAGAAACCAGCTACTGTACCCCAACACCCAGCGCTGACCACCCACTTAACTGGCACCCAGGGCAAGAAACACATAGTGCTCCCCCTGAATTAGAGGGTGCAGCCAGGGCCAGTTTTAGGCCGATTCCCTGGACTCGGGCCCCGCGCCTTAGGCTCACCAGCGGCAGTCCACTCCGGCGGCATTTCAGCGGGGGTCCACTCCGGGGTCCTCGGCGGCATTTTGGCAGCAGGGGGTCCTTCAGTGCTGCGGAAGACCCGGACCACTGCCGAGTCCTAAAACCTGCCCTGGGTGCAGCCTTCACAAAGCCAGCGTGCAAGTCCCATGTCCTAAATGGTCCAGTGCGCACCCTAGGCCCAGCTCTTATATGGCAGAAAGATCACATTTGGCCTTGTGGGGAGCGTTCTTAGAGAAGAGACCCTGCAAATCAGTATAGAGCAAAGCACGGATTATACACGGGGGAGGTTCGATGGGCTCTCTCCAGCTCACAGCCAGCCTCCATACAGCACCGAGCATGGCTATCGCAAAACAGCACCTTCCCCTCTAAGCTCAAATTTTCAGAGGACTGTGAATCAGCTGCAGAAACAAGACAAAGGCTACAGCTTGCAGTCAGTGCCTGAGATCTCCCCATCTCCCACAGCTTTTATTTTAAGCAGTGTGGAGTTGATGGAATTTTTAATACAGAAACTTTTCTTGTGCTTCTATTTCTCAAAAATAGCTTTGTTTAGACCCACAAGGATGCTGGCCCATCTCCTAATTTGAAATGGGATATAGCATAAACTGAAAGCAGAAATAGGCATTCCCTAAGATTGAATAGGAATAGTTAAGGTGGATACATCATGTCAGTCCAGACTAGCAGAAGGTGCAAGTTTTAAAGACTAAGGAGGAGGTAGGTGCAGGTTAGCTATTTCACACTATTTCACGGTGCACACAAACACACTGGCTCCTTTACCAGTTCAGCTAGCCCCAGCACTGGACTTGGCCTGGGGTTAGATACTGCGGCTGAGGGACTGCGTGGGCCGCACAGCATCATGCTGCAGTGCAAAAAGCACTTGCTAGGGGTCCGCACTGAAGTGAGGGGTCCGTGGCGTTGGCTCCTCATTTTCAACGGCTAAATTGTATGAAGAAGCTAGAAGTCTGTTAAAATACTGGCACTGGGTCAGCCCAGGCGAGAGGAGTTAGCTCAGTTCTAGACTAACACCCAACACTTCAGACTAATGGAAATGCACCGAATTGCTGCTGATCCAATTCACCCTACCCTCTCCCAGCCTTCCCCATTACTGAAACAGAGGTGGAGCTGGCTTTTGGAAACACGGCTTCTCAAAGTAACAATGTCTGAGCCTGGAACATAGCGGACATATGAAAACTCACTCTGCCTAGGACGTTCAGTCCCCGTCCAGAGGGAACAGTAAGGGCTGGTCTATACTTAGCCGCTAGTTCGGTGGCTGGAAATCGAACTTCCTGGTTCGATTTATCGCGTCTGGTCTGGACGCGATAAATCGAACCAGGAAGTGCTCGCCGTCGACTGCGGTACTCCAGCTCAACGAGAGGAGTACCGTGGAGTCGACGGGGAGCCTGCCTGCCGCGTGTGGACCGCATCTGAACCGCGGTAAGTTCGAAGTAAGGTATGTCGAATTCAGCTACGTTATTCACGTAGCTGAAGTTGCGTACCTTACTTCGACTTGGGGGGTTAGTGTAGACCAGGCCTTAGAGGTGCAGCAGGTCAAGGTGTTAGCAAAACTGGGTGAGGGGACCAGAATGAAACAGCAGGGGTGGATTGAGGTGGGGGGTAGTGGAGTAACGGGGGGGGGGGGTCTAGTAGGAGCTGCTGCCCATGGCTGAAGCCCCAGTGCCCCTCATTACACCTTACTACAGTCATACTTAACAGGGGTAGTTAGGGTGTCTACACTGCTCACATTACAGCAGCCACGGCAGCGCAGTGATGTGGGCAGTGCAGTCGCGCTTCATCGCCAGGGGCGAGCTCTCCCGGCGATAAAAAAAAATAACCACTGCGAACGAGCGCTGGTAGCTTTATCGCCAGATGCGGCTCCCAGTGATAAAGCACGGTCTATAATGGTGCTTTTCAGCGATAAAACTTTTGTTGCTCACAGGGGTGTGTTTTTTCACACCCCGAAGGACTGAAGTTTTAGCGCTGAAACTGGCAATGTAGACACAGCCTTAGATAAGTAACAGCCCTGACTGCTCTGACCCAACAGCAGTGTTTTGAGACACCTTGCCTGCTGCAGCTGCCACTCTCAGGGTAAACTTGCTGGATAAGGGAAGCAGACCAGCGTGGTTCTTACAGTCAGAGCGTACGAGGAGAGGGATCTACTTGCTGACATATCAAGAGGATTTCATGCTACAAACCAAACAAGACTCTCTAGTCTAGAGCACTGCTTGGTGCCTCGGAAGTGCCTGCTGTGATTGCCCATTTAAAGGACGCTTAGTTAGGGTGGAGAGCCAGCAGCCTGGGGCATAGAGAGAGGAAAGGAAAGGAAGGGGCTTCAGGACAAGGAGAGTGACACAGCTCGGACTATTAGTGCAGAGAGAATATAACCAAGGCAGGCAGCAAGCTAAGGCTCACACATGAAGCTTGAAAACCCGAGACCGTAGCAAGGAGACAAAGGGTTATGTTAGAGGTACTGAAGGGGGCTGTTACAGATAACGGGGCTCCCGGCAGAGGAGGGAGAGCCAAGCAGCAATGACGTATTTAGGCAGAAGTGGGACGCTGGCACAGAAATTTATCAATGGACAGGGAGGTCATGGTCACACTTTGGAGGAACCAGGCACTCTTTGGGAGTCCAGAAGGAATCTAGTGCTGAGTATGTTCCACCCCGGATTGGCTGTGGTGGGGAGTTTGCCATTGCCTGGTAGAATGTGGAGAACTGCACAGTCAGGGCTCCTAGGCCTACTCTGCATGGTACCTGGTGCTCTGTGGTAGGTCAGGGGACTGTCCTTTCACCTGGGTTTTCTTGCCCACAGACCAGGCCCATCCTGTTGCAAGGTCCCTGGAACCACTGGTTGCAGCTCCTGAGATACAAGCAAGTAGTGTAGAAACTCTCAGGCCCTGCTCTCATCTCCAGGAAAGCACTTCCCCACAGCCAGCCCAATGCCCAGCAAATGCTTTCGCTCCTGCTCCACTGAGCTGGGACAGAACTGGACAGCTTCCAGCAGGGCCTGGCTCCCTGCAGCACCCTCTCCCACAGCACAGAGCAGCAAGGTCCTTCCCATTGGGAAGGACGGACGGACAGACATGCTGGGAGGGAGAGAGACTGGAGCGAGGCAGATGGCCAGGGTGAGCAGCACAACACTCTCCACACTGATTTCCCAGAACCTAGCCCATCTGACGGGAAACCCTCCCATCCCGCGAGAGAGCTGCACTGGCTTGGGCCACCCTGAGAAGCTCCAAGCCGGCCAGGGTGGCATAGGCTGCTTGAATTCCCAGGAAAGGCACGCTGCCTCTCAGCGGAGTCTGGCTTTTACTTTTATTAAAAAGAAACCTTGTTTTGTTCAGCATTGATCAGTGCATCACTCTCACATCTGCCCTCCCCCCCAGCAAAACAGGGCCCCAGGCTCCCCCCACAGAGACCCACAGGCTGCCAGCCATGGCAGGAAGCTAAGAAACCCAAGAGCCACTTTCCGAACGTCCCTGAAGGATGAGCAGCACTCACCTACTGCAGACACTGCGAGGAAGCGCTGCCCCAGTGCACAGGCCCAGGCTGGCCTGTATATGCCCCCTACATTGGGGAAGGTGGCAGGGTCACACTTGTGGATCAACAGCTCACAGGGGGAGGGACCCGGGTCCAGTGCATGTAGAGGGGACCCTGCCAATACCAAGGCTCTCAACAGGAATAAAAGGAAGGTGCCCCACAGGTCTCACTCCCGCTAAGCTAGGCAGCCCCAGGGGCACGCCATGTAGGGGCTGGGCTGGAAGGGTGCACTTCAGGCTGCTGAAGCACTCAGAGGGGACAGTCTCCAGAGCATCTCCCAATCCTTCCGACTCAAAGGAAAGCCCCTTCATCCAGGCACTGTGCGGGGAGTGAAAGCTTGACTCATACCCAGGGAGCCCCAAAACGGCCTCCTCTGCTGTCTGGTGGTGGAGCTGGCTGCAGTAACTAGAAAAAGCAGAAGTGGCCCGAGCTCATCCACCTTGGACCCAGCCTGCAGGGGCATTTTGCTCAGACGGCCAGTCACTCGCAGCTGTAGCCACTCTGCACTCCTTGGGGGAGATCTGCCCATGCCAGCTGACGGGCTTGTGGGGCTCTTGCTAAGGGGCTGTTTAATTGACGTGTAGACATTGGGGCTTGGGCTGGAGCCCACGCTCTGGTACCTTCCCACCTTGCAGGGTCCTAGAGCCCGGGCTCCAGCCCAAGCCCAAAGAGCCACACCGCAATGAAACAGCCCCTTAGCCTGAGTTGGCTGGCCCGGGCCAACCGCAGGTGCCTAGCTGCAGCATAGGAGTCCCTGCTAACCCCCTAGGTAAAGGCAAAGGCAAACCCAAGAGCTCCATGCTGGGAAGTGGCCGTGCTGGGGGCTAAGCCTCGGTTTCTGACCCAACACCCTATTTCTGCCAGACTTT